AAAAACAGATTTTGTTATTTTTAGTTAAACTTAATTTTTGTTGCTTGTCTGCGCTCGTCCTCCGCCTTTTTTCACTTCTCCGACCCCGCGGCTCTCTCCGATAGCTTAGTGTTAGTGTTTCCAGGTTTTACTCGTGCTATTTCTCGATGTTGAGAGTTTGGTGTCGCTCATATTGCACCTGCATGCATTCTTATCCTTTTCTCTGACGAACTGGAAATAACAGGAGTGTGTCCATCTCACAAATGTAGAATCCATCTCTGCAGTCATCTCAACCATCTAATTCCAGCAACAGGAAATAGACTAACTATTTTACCCGCGGAATTTTTTCTCTGGTGCTGTTTTGCGGTGTTAGTAAATTCACCACTTAATTTTGAGTTAAAATGTTGTTGTAACTTGCGTTACTGAGATTGTAACACGTAATAATATTACCCAAATTTTATTAGTAATGCTTTATATTACTGCATTACAGCAAAAAGTAATATACTACTGTAATATTATTACTTTTGTAATGCGTTACTCCCAACACTGGTAATGAATAAGACCTGACTGTGGCTGGTGAAGGATTTAAGTATAGCTTCAAACTTAACCAGACCTCTAGAGAGAAGCACTTATTCTACCTTCCATGATCAGTAAATCAATGCCAGGCAGCAGGTCTGTAGTATTTGACTTTCTCTCTGTGAAAGAAAGACAAAGTCATAATTACTGAAAAAGGCCTTATGGCATTGACCCAAAAAAGAAGAAAAAAAACGCCTTTAAGTTAAAATTACTACTGCTACTATAAGTATTAATATTAGCATTTATCAATATATTATTGCTTTCTATGACATGAAAGAAATGGGCTTGAATCCTTCACAAGCAAACAGTGATCTTCCAGGTGGAAAATAAATTATGAAAAACAATTATAATTAAAAAATAATTAAATAATGCAAAATATCACAAACAATTAATTTAAAAAAACACAATAATAATTTTTTTTTTTTTTACAATTTCCAATCAAACACAGCCCTAATTCCTCACATACGCAAACATCCATCAGACACTACAAAATCTGAATGAGCGACCATGTGCTTGTGTTTGTGATGAAACCACACATTGAAATGTTTGGTGTCTGTCAGTGTGAGTTTATTTGTGAGAAGGTAAACACTTACCAAGCACAATGAGTTCTGTATAACACTCGCCATTCCCTGAAAGGTCCTGGGCTGAAGCAGCATTACAGATGTACACTCCGCTGTCACCCCACGCGGTCTGAGCAAAGTTAAGGTCTGCATCTATACATTTAAAAAAAAAGACAAAATAGATGAGGTTTTAGAGGTGCTCAAATCATAACTTGTACAACGTACATATTTGAAATCTTTGCAAGTTTTTTGGCTAAACCAGGCACATTTACACAGGTGTGGTGGTAATGGAGATAAAAAAACGAATATATAAACAAAATCTTATGAATAATAAAATAAAAAACAAACAAATAAATAATATATACAATAAAGAAATTAATGAATAATGTACATTAAATAAAAAAACAATACAAAATACTTTCACAAAGTCAACTTACTATTTGTGATGCTGATCTGACGGCCCTGGTACTCGCTCCCAAGTGTGACCGCTGTTTGTTTCGAAGCTACTATGCGAACAGTCCTGGCGCTGTCTGCACACTCTATGTTAGGGTTGTAGTTTGGGTTGGACTGAGCGATGGCATTGTCAGCACTACTGGGGTTTAATGCAGCTTGTATCGGGTCTCTGCAGTAGGACTTGTATTTCCAGGTGATCAGTGGTGGGTTTGTAGCTGTTGTAGTGAAATCACAGCGGAGCGTGACCGGCTGGAATAATATGACTACGTGTCGTGGGTAAGGGCAGACCACGTTGACTGCTGTGGTGCAGCCTGTAGGAGAGGAAACACATTTGAATATAACAGCATCCACAAATAAATGAAACACAGGGAGATTTACGACATTCCCATGAATCTAGACATGAATTAAGAATACAGTGGAGATCAAATAACATCCAGACTGGACTAAAAGTCCTTTCAGGTAATAACAAAGACTCAAACCATGTCAAAAGACATTAAACGGCTCTTATGAAAAGTCTTCACTGTCTTCAATGACTTTCTGTAAAAAATATTCTTAAACACAAGGGAACAGAACAGATTATAATAAACCAGGTGAACCACATGAAAACTGATTGTGTCAGTGAAGATGTCAAATTTATCTTTAGTCTTTAGTAACTTCTCTTCGGCTTAGATCTATTGAAAGTGTTCTGAATGCTCAGGAAGCAAGAGGTGCACTTGAAAACGATCTTTCAGTCACTAAAATCACTAGTTTTTCACCAGTGAGTCGTGATAATAGCGGTGTTTAAATCATCATTCTAGCTGTCAAAGTCAGGAGATAGGCTGTATTTATTTGATCTAACAGACTAAAATCACAATAAATGTTCAAAGCAATGTTCAATGTAATATCTTCAGTAATATTTCTAACTGAATAAGAGTTCAATTTATAAACAACAGCTGCTCAAATCTGAAAAGTATCATCATTTTGTAAGGAACATTTATATATTCATTTGAACTGTATTTTTATCATCGGTGAAAACACTTTTGATTATTTAAAAACACTTTTGAGGAAGAAAATATATTAACATACATGACTCTCTGAGGGTTATGGTTATCTATTAGGAAGTGTTGCTAGATGTAAATACAAAATGTGACATTTCATGCCTACCTAAAACGGCTCGTTCTAACACGCCCCCACATGTCTATGTCACGATGTGGGAAGATTTGCATAACGCCACCGAAATGTTCACGCAAAGAGAGAAGGCGTAACTTTTATTCTCGCTGTAGTATTGTTGTTCCTGCCGCCGCCATGTTGTGACGGCGCTTTGTGTTTCGTTGTGAAAGCGAAACTACTTTGTTTGGCCTTCCAAAAGAGGACGATATTCACTTTGTCATGCCTAGAGCTGATCCGTGCTTGTCGCTGAGGAAATACATCAACTTCGCGCTGAGGATCACCGGATCGGCTTTCACCGTGGACGAAGCGGAGTCCAGCCCGGGGTCGTCACATGTGGTTGCCGCAAGCCCACTGGCCGCTCCTTCGTCGAAATCCGCCGGCCGCGCCGTTATCAAGCCCACCGGCGTCCGCCTACTCTTGCTGCTGGCCTCCGCTCACTCAAGCTCGTCGTGTGTGAAGCTGTGTGTTTCGTTGTGAAAGCGAAACTACTTTGTTTGGCCTTCCAAAAGAGGACACGACTAGAAATCAGTGGTTAAGTTGTATTTACAACACCGTTCCAGAACAGTTCAACCCAAATATTCAGATGTGTGCAGCACATTTTATGGAGGACTGTTTACTGATCCTGGGAGAGTAGACTACAATGCCGGCTGTTCTGACTCAAAGACTGTAAGTAAATTTTTTATATTTAAAGAATTTGCCACTGACGATTCAAACATGAGTTTTGAGCATTGTAGAGTAGCGCTGGAATAATATGACTACGTGTCGTGGGTAAGGGCAGACCACGTTGACTGCTGTGGTGCAGCCTGTAGGAGAGGAAACACATTTGAATATAACAGCATCCACAAATAAATGAAACACAGGGAGATTTACGACATTCCCATGAATCTAGACATGAATTAAGAATACAGTGGAGATCAAATAACATCCAGACTGGACTAAAAGTCCTTTCAGGTAATAACAAAGACTCAAACCATGTCAAAAGACATTAAACGGCTCTTATGAAAAGTCTTCAGACTTTCTGTAAAAAATATTCTTAAACAAGGGAACAGAACAGATTATAATAAACCAGGTGAACCACATGAAAACTGATTGTGTCAGTGAAGATGTCAAATTTATCTTTAGTCTTTAGTAACTTCTCTTCGGCTTAGATCTATTGAAAGTGTTCTGAATGCTCAGGAAGCAAGAGGTGCACTTGAAAACGATCTTTCAGTCACTAAAATCACTAGTTTTTCACCAGTGAGTCGTGATAATAGCGGTGTTTAAATCATCATTCTAGCTGTCAAAGTCAGGAGATAGGCTGTATTTATTTGATCTAACAGACTAAAATCACAATAAATGTTCAAAGCAATGTTCAATGTAATATCTTCAGTAATATTTCTAACTGAATAAGAGTTCAATTTATAAACAACAGCTGCTCAAATCTGAAAAGTATCATCATTTTGTAAGGAACATTTATATATTCATTTGAACTGTATTTTTATCATCGGTGAAAACACTTTTGATTATTTAAAAACACTTTTGAGGAAGAAAATATATTAACATACATGACTCTCTGAGGGTTATGGTTATCTATTAGGAAGTGTTGCTAGATGTAAATACAAAATGTGACATTTCATGCCTACCTAAAACGGCTCGTTCTAACACGCCCCCACATGTCTATGTCACGATGTGGGAAGATTTGCATAACGCCACCGAAATGTTCACGCAAAGAGAGAAGGCGTAACTTTTATTCTCGCTGTAGTATTGTTGTTCCTGCCGCCGCCATGTTGTGACGGCGCTTTGTGTTTCGTTGTGAAAGCGAAACTACTTTGTTTGGCCTTCCAAAAGAGGACGATATTCACTTTGTCATGCCTAGAGCTGATCCGTGCTTGTCGCTGAGGAAATACATCAACTTCGCGCTGAGGATCACCGGATCGGCTTTCACCGTGGACGAAGCGGAGTCCAGCCCGGGGTCGTCACATGTGGTTGCCGCAAGCCCACTGGCCGCTCCTTCGTCGAAATCCGCCGGCCGCGCCGTTATCAAGCCCACCGGCGTCCGCCTACTCTTGCTGCTGGCCTCCGCTCACTCAAGCTCGTCGTGTGTGAAGCTGTGTGTTTCGTTGTGAAAGCGAAACTACTTTGTATTTCAGAAAGGCGGGGCATACAGGAGAAACAATAACGTACAGTATGGGGAAAATAATGTGTTTTTTGAACCTTAAACCGCATAAACACATTTCATTACACCAAATACACAAAATAATGTTCTTTTTAGCAACATCATATGACCGCTTTAAACTAATATGGTTTAAAACGCATGATTTCAACGGGATAAACATGACAACCAGAATCAAAACAGATGTTTTTAGCAGGTACGAGCTGTAATGCCGCAGCTCTATTCTGGAAAAGGGGGCGGGGAGCAGCAGCTAATTTGCATTTAAAGAGACATGCTCTAATACAGCATGTTTCCGCTTCCCCTCAAAATAGGCATTTTAAAAATGATATAATAAATGATCTGTGGGGTATTTTGAGCTGAAACTTCACAGACACATTCTGGGGACCCCTGAGACGTATATTACATATTGTAAAAAGGGGCATAATATGACATCTTTAAGCAAATTCGAATAAGACAAAGTGGAACCATATTGCACAACATGTGTGAATACCTGAGATATATATCAAAAAGGATTTGTATTTGTACTCATAATCGGATATTTAGATGCTGGTTACTATAGTAATATGAATATAAGTGAAGGATTAATAATGAACAAACACTTATTAAAGCCCTTGGCCACTCAATTTTAATAAATTATGAGACAAATTATATATCAACTGATAGGTGAATATGGCCTCCATGAATTCATGAAAAAAATTAAATCTGATCATCTATTGATATTTTTCTACACACATAAACTTACTGACGAAGAAGTGACCACAAAGCATTAGCATAAGAAGAACGCCCCTACCTGTGATCAAGAGGAGGGTAAAGATTATACCCTGCGACATATTTTCTCAAAATCTTTCAAAACATATGAGCTTTAAAAGCATCCAACGTTAACTTCCTCAAAAGTATGTAAAGAAAATCCGAGTAAGTGTCGACACTGCAGCTGTATTTTGTTGCGCCCTCCGTTCTTCTTCTTCTTCTTGGTTTTATGGTGCGCCCTCCGATTCCTCCTTCAGTGAGGTATGAACGTGTAACCCGAAACTCAGGTGAGTTCGGCGGGGCCACTGCAAGCAAAATGCGCGTAAGATCATAGGGGTCCAAAAGAGAACAATAGTTTGCGTATTTAAAAATACGGACTTTTATACATTTCATTTGGTTCCTGAACAATAATATACGGTATTCTGGAGCAGTATTCTGTGACTGCGCATCCGGTTTGACAAGATTAACCCAAAACGTTTCATATTACAACGCCCTGTAATCCACGTTTGGCGAGAGAAATGGTTTATTCCACTGCCAGTCTCTGAAGGCCGAGTTAATGATCGCCAAGATTACAAGTTTTGATACTTCCCATGTCTTTGCCAAGTAACCTAGTTAGATTCTCGAATCTAATTTAACAATGTCTCGGTTAACTCCTAAAGTTATTTAGTTAGTAAACACAGAAGAACTCATTCGCCATGTGGCCATGATAAACAGATCCTCTTCAGTTTCATGATGATCACATATAGGCCTACACAGGGGAACACTGACATGGATGTTTTTTTGTACATTTTTAAACTTTTATTTCAGTTTTAAAGACAGAAGTTTAGCAATATCTAAAAAAATAATTTTATATTTGAAAAATAAGAACGCTGTAAATGCATTCTATTTGCAAACATTTGAATATTTTTAAACTTTATTTCTATCCTTTGATTTTATATTAATATTATTATTATTTATGTATCTTTGCTTATCCTAATGTAGCCTAGCCCCTGGATGTATTTGTAATTCTATAAAATCAATCAATAACAAATATATAGAGGAACACTATGGCTAGATGTGATTATTTCTCAGTGTAGGTTTATTTTCGAATGTTTTCGAGTCAGTTACAATATAGGCAGATAACTTTTACATTTTCAGTAGAAACATTTTTAAATGTAAAGTACAGATATAAGAAAACATTGTTATGGCCTACACATATATAATATATATTTGTAAATGATAAATTTCCTCTGTTCACTGTGTGTACACGGTCACTTTTTTGATGGATTGTCTGATGATAACTATTATCAGGAAATCAATTTGAGAAGTGTTAACCACATGCCTACTCATACTTTTCTCATTTTGCTTGCACAAAAAAACTCAGGAGTCAAATAATAGTTTTTTCTTCTTCTTTGTATTGGGGGGGAAAAAACGAATCTGTACTGTTCCTTTCTATCTGTCCAGCCA